AAGACAGCGAGTGAGTGGAAAGTGAGGGGAGAGAGGCGAGGGGGTGGTTGGGAAATTAGATTGAATATGAGGGACGTCTTTGTTAAAGAACGAGGGAAGAGGAAGAGGAGGAGGGATTTTAGGTTGAGAGACAGCGAGTGAGTGGAAAGTGAGGAGAGAGGCGAGGCAGGGTGTTGGGAAATAGATTGAATATGAGGACGTCTTTGTTAAAGAGGACGAGGAAGAGGAAGAGGAGGAGGATTTGAGGAGAGAGGTTGAGAAGACAGCGAGTGAGTGGAAAGTGAGGAGAGAGGCGAGGCAGGTGGTTAGGAAATTAGATTGAATATGAGGGACGTCTTTGTTAAAGAGACGAGGGAAGAGGAAGAGGAGAGGGATTTGAGGAGAGAGGTTGAGAGGCAGCGAGTGAGTGGAAAGTGAGGAGAGAGGCGAGGCAGGTGGTTGGGAAATTAGATTGAATATGAGGGACGTCTTTGTCAACTCCGATGGTCTCGGCTGCAGTTCCAGGAGTTTGAGTTCGTCGCGGATTCAGTAATAGCAAAGAGGAAAGAAGGAGAAGAAGAAGGAGAAAAGAGAAAGAAGGAGAAGGAGAAGGAGAAGGAGAGAAGGAGAGGGAGAAGCGAAGAAGAGAAAGAAGATGGAGAGGGAGAAGGAGAAGAAAACGAATATACCACTCATACCAGTAAATACAACGAAGATAAGTGAAGACATTGCAACAACACGAATCACTTGATACTAATTGATATTCCCGAATCAAGAAAAAAATCTTAATTTACAAATTCGCCCATGAATAAAAAAAAAAAAAAAAAATACAAAGCCGCTCATGAATAATAAAAAAAAATCTTAATTTACAAATTTGTCCGTGAACCGCACCCCCCCCCCCAAAAAAAAAAAAAAAAAAAAAAAAAATCTCTTAATTTCGAAATTCGCTTAAGATGACAAGAACAATAAGCCAAACGGACGCGTCAGAAGCAGGTGTCGGTCGGTCGGTCGGTCGGTCGGTCGGGCTGACAACTCTCCTTCTCCGAGACTTTTAAAAAGAACAAAAGTCGGCGGCCACTTTCCGTCAGTCGGGCGATAAATTGTCTCTCGGTCGGTGACACTGGATCATATTCCTTTGGCTCATATGATATTCCGTCTCTCTCTCTCTCTCTCTCGTTTCTTCCCCTCCCGATTCGTTCCTTCCCCCCCCCCCCACCCCTACCCTTCTGCCTCCTTCCCTGCCCCGTCTCGAACACCCTTCCTCCCCTCCCTCCCATACCCCCCCCTCCCCCCCTCCCCCTTCCCCTCCCTCCCGCGCACCCTTTCGTCTACTCGCCTACCCCCTCCTCGTCCCCTCCCTCCCTTCCCGGCCGTTTCCTCCCCTCGTCTACCCGTACCCCCCTCCCTCCCCCTCCCCGGCCGTCCCGCGCCCACCCCTTTCGTGCTACCCGTACCCTCCCGTTCCCCCTCCTGCCGTTCCTCCCTCCCTCCCGCCGCGCACCCCCTCGTCTACCCCTACCCCCTTCCCCCCTCCCTCCCTCCCTCCCTCCCGCGCTACCCCTTCGTTCTACCCCTCCTCCCTTACCCCCGCCCCCCCTTCACACGTCCATCTGGTGTCCCATTACTCTCGTGGGGGCGCGCGTAGGGTCCCGAGGAGGAGCAGGGACGATCTTCGCCCTTACGGCAAGGCGTCGGAAGGTCGACGATCCTCGAACGGGTGTAGCTGTGGCCCGCGGGTGGTTCGTCGACTATGATCGGTTCCCGCCAGTGCTGTATGAAGTAGTTATCACACGCCGATTTCGGGCCAGATTTTCTCTCCGTCTTGGTTACATTAGCGTCACCTGGGCGGGGTTCGCTTCTCTCTGTGTCTGTGTGTCTGTCTGTCTGTCTGTCTCTTTTTCTCTGTCTCTGTCTCTCTCTCTTCTCTCTCTCTTCTCTTCTCTTCTCTCTGTCTCCTCTTCTCTGTCTCTCTCTCTCTCTCTCTCTCTCTCTCTCTCTCTCTCTCTCTCTCTCTCTCTCTCTCTCTCTCTCTCTCTCTCTCTCTCTCTCTCTCTCTCTCTCTCTCTCTCTCTCTCTCTCTCTCTCTCTCTCTCTCTCTCTCTCTCTCTCTCTCTCTCTCTCTTCTCTCTCTCTCTCTCTCTCTCTCTCTCTCTCTCTCTCTCTCTCTCTCTCTCTCTCTCTCTCTCTCTCTCTCTCTCTCTCTCTCTCTCTCTCTCTCTCTCTCTCTCTCTCTCTCTCTCTCTCTCTCTCTCTCTCTCTCTCTCTCTCTCTCTCTCTCTCTCTCTCTCTCTCTCTCTCTCTCTCTCTCTCTCTCTCTCTCTCTCTCTCTCTCTCTCTCTCTCTCTTTCTCTCTCTTTTATTCTCTCCCTTGCTCATTATTATTTTACTCGGGTAGACGATCGTATTAGAATTACAAATTTTGGGTGGAATGGATGCAAGGTCTGGAGGTCCGTCGTGAGGTTGATTATAGTGTTCGAAGGGCACGAGGCGGGTATTAGGAAGCATATGGGTATAAATTAGCATGTAACTGTTTGCCCTGTTCCGAAGAAGCGCTGTGCTGTCGGGGTGGTATACTGTACGTTGCGTGGCCCTCCGCTCTGAGGACCTCTCCAAAATTCGTCGATAAATGTAGTGACGAGTGTGATTGACAAGTTCGATTTTGTCTGTTATGGTTTCCGTGGTATAAAAAGGCCTCGGTTTTAAGTGTCTGTCTCTTTCCCGTGGTCGTATTATACTTGCCATTTGCATTCGTTAGCGTATGTTGGTCTTAACTGCTTGAGAGTATGGTGTGTATGTGTGTTCGAGATAGAGAAGCACATGTATTATGGTAATGCACAGACCACCTGGTACTGGCTGTTCGTCGGAGGCTGTTTTGTGGTTTCATGTGTGCTTGTGGGTGCGTTTGGCGTGTGCGTGTGCGAGTGCTGGTGTAAGTGAAGTGCGAGTGCTGGTGTAAGTGATTTTGCGAGTGCTGTGTAAGTGATTTTGCGTGTGCGTGTGCGTGTGCGTGTGTAAATGATTTTGCGAGTGCGTGTGCGTGTGCTGGTGTAAGTGATTTTGCGTGTGCGAGTGCGAGTGCTGGTGTAAGTGATTTTGCGAGTGCGTGTGCGAGTGCTGGTGTAAGTGATTTTGCGAGTGCGTGTGCGTGTATGTGTGTGTGTGCGACGTGCGCATGCGTGTGTCTTGGTGTGTGCGTTCGTATACGCGTGTCTTGTGTGCGTTCGTGTACGCGTGTGTATCACGTGCGCGAACTCCTGACTTGCCTCACTTGGGCTCTTGCCAAGTTTTCTCGTGTGTGTTATTTCTTTTTTTTTAGATTTTTTTTTATTACGTGGAAGGAAAGACGGGAAAAGGGTTCAGCTCGATGATATGCATTATCGTGGTACAACTCCACCCGCGGAGGAGTTGTACCCTTTCTGTGAAGCAAGGCGGGTGTTCGAAGCCATTCATCATTTTACATTTACCAGCACGCGTATTTTAGATTTACGTTTACCTATTAGATACATCGCTTAAACTGGTGTGCGCAATTCGCTCCATTGGCGGAATTAACGTAGTAATTTCAGCGGCAGTAACTCTTTCACCGACCCAATTCTGTCCGCATCTGACACGACGGGGAATTAATCTGTTTTGAGGTCTTAATCATCCGCCTAATGAAGACATAGGCCTACGCCTCCCTCCACAATTCCAAATGGTATAATGTCACTCGTTGATCGCCATGTGAGGTGTGTATTTAAGGGAGCCTAAACATAGCCCTTAATTATGGAGGTCTTTGAAGGGGCGGGGACAGAGGTTGAGGATATTAATGGTGGTGTCATATGTCTTTTCTGTTAACGTTTCTTTGGTTTTTGTTTTTGTTTTTTGTTGTTGTGACGGGTTTTAGCTCTCCTGTCTTTGTTGTTGTGTTTCGGCGGGGAATGATTACTTAGCGTCGGCCGCTTGTTTACATTTTATAGCTGTTTTTGTTTATGGGATCTCGGGAAAGAGCACTTACAAAGATGTGTCGTACATGTTTTAAAATAGCAAGATATCGTCTGTTTAAAAAAAAGTGAAATGTATACCCCGTTTCTTGACATAAAGTTGATCGGGTCAGGAAGGATGGACGGGCATCAGCATTACCCTGATGGGCGTCCAGGGGCTTTCCTGGGATGACGGAGGGGGGGGGGGGGGAGGGCCGGGGCCGCAGCCTCGCATGTCCACCCTGAGGGCCGAGCCACCGAGCGCCACTTCACGCACATCGACGCCTCTTAGGGTCAGAGTCCCCCGGCGAGACATGCGATTCGCTGCCGTAGTGCACGCCCGCGCCGCTGGCTGGCTGGCTGGCAGGCAGGTGGATTGACCCTTGACCTTGGCGGGGTCTTCGGTTACGTGACCCTTATGCTAGAGTGCCGGAGGCTGCTCTCCCTCCCTCCCTCGGGTAATTGGCCCCTCCCTCGCCCTCCGCAATTAGTACCCATGTATTCTACCCTCATGTGCTTTGCTCTCTCGTGCGTGAGAATTAGTGAAAAACCCGCGGTCTTCCCATGCGTGGCTAGAAAGAAGCTGACCAATCCTTCTGAGTGTTTAGGACGGAAACGAAACGGGCAAATGCACCAAGAATCGGCGTTTCGTGGCGAGAGGCGTTTGGCACAGTAGCCCACTAGCGCCGCGCTCCTCTTCCGCCCTCTGGCTGCAGGCGTGGCGGGGGAGGCGACAGTCGGGCATCGTCCTACAGCACAGTAGTTGCCGTGAGCTCCCCGGGGCGCTTTTGTGTCGGCTTCATCGTGCCCTCGCAGCAATGGCCGAAGGCGGCCTCAGAGTTGCTGCTTTTGCTTGGCAATGCTTTACATGGGAGGTCGAGGGAGAGAAAGAGGGGGTTGGGGGTCGTTTGATAGATGAACACACTCCGGGAGGTGTGATGCCATTTATTGGCAATGATAACGTATATATTATTTATTTCCTTTTGCCGTCTGCACGTTTCATATATAGAATCACTTGATTAGCCAAGTTTTATATGATTACTAAAGTGTGTATTTTTTGGACAGGAGGCGTAGGACACCGGCGACGCGTGCTGGTGCTGGCCCTCCCAGACCTGGTGGCCGACACTGAGGGCAGAGCCAGCGGGTCGTGCACGCCCCCGTCCTCCGCCCACTCCCCCACGGAGGCCAAGGGCTCACGGGTGTCGTTCAGCCACGCCGTCAGCAACGCGACCGGCGGCGCTACCAGAATCCACTCCCGGCCAGCTTGGAGCCGCCCTCGGGCTCTGTCTTGTGACGTCACGCTGGAGGTCGAGTTGGGGCAAGAGCTCAGGAGGATCGGCGACACCTTCCACCGAGCTCATGCTATGGTAGGTAGTTGCAGTGGGAATCACTTTAATGTTGTTAGGATACGGGTAATTGGGCTAATTGCAAGTGTATGCTGTAGTATGCGGTTGCGTTAGTCATATTAATGTTCAAATGAGGTAACAGACAGGGTTTATGCTATTGTGTGCACTGGATGGTTAGTCAACATTGACATCGTTCAAATTAAGTGTTTTTAAAATCTATGTTTCCTATTATTATATGATTTTTCTGTTACATAAAGCCCTATGAATCTGGATGAAAAAACTATCATGCTTCATAATATTGTGTACATATTACTATGTTTGTATTCACATATTTATCAACTTGCAGGCCATGAATGAGGAAGCAAGTGTCTGGAGTCGACTGCGCAGGAGTTTTCGCTCCTCAGGCTCCCGCTCCACCCTCACTACATCGTAAGAATCACCATCAACTCACCAGTGAATTCAAGGTTAAGAATTTCACTTGTGAGAAGAAACCATGGAAGACTTCAGCTGGTTTTCAGAGGAAATGTTATATATCAAATTTTCTAATTCTAAGTAGATGATTGTTCTGTAACCAGTTGAGGTTGATTATTTACTCGTGCCTTATGTACTGCATTGTATAATCAGTCCAAGAACCTTTGACATTTGGTAATATGTAGTAGGGTTATGTTGCATGCCTGTTGTAGCATATGATGTTTATGGTTTGGTAAAGTTAAGTATAATGCATTTACTATTTATAACAATCTTTCATCAAGTTGTAGTGTAATACTTGTTATGTGTAATTTAAATTCATTGTTAACATGATTATATTACACCTGCATAGTGTTGCTCAAGAATTAAGGTTTGGTGCCATAACATTTTCCCTTTAGATGTCTGATGAATTTTGCAGGACTGTATAACACTCATTAAGTGTAGCACTAAGATGACATTTACATAAAGACATGTATGGGTATTATAAATGCGCGTGGAATTACTTGTTCTTCAGCTTGTGCAAGTCATTGAATATTGCTCATAACCAATAAGTAAAACTCCCTTTGTGCTCATAAGTAACAGAGATGAAATAGAAGTGCAGATGTTGCTATTATCTAAATCATAATTGATATGTAATATCTTTAAGTGAAAAACTTGATAGCTAAAAAGATTTTAGAAAGTTGGATATGGAGTTACAGTTTCAGAAATGAATCTTTAAGCTATTATGCTTTTGTTGATAAAGGCATGCAAGTTAATAACCAATATGTCCAGCAACTTCTAATTAATGTAAATACAGGGTATTATTAGTGTATAGGAATAATGTCATTAGGTGTTACTGGAACATACAAGTTATTATGTATAAAAAAATGCTTTTGGTTTGCTGTACAAAGTAAAATAAATCAAGTTGTAGGATTTTCTGTAACCAAAAGTTTTGCCAAAATTGGGCAACTTTATTTCAAATTATTACAATGTTAATAATTGTATTTGAAATACCAGTGAATTGACATTTATTTACTGAAAAAATAGTAATAGGTTGTAAGTTTTGTGATTATTGATCTCATTAGTTAACTTTGTACATAGTACTTGTGCATTTGAAAAGAATGGATATTTTGCATTTCGAGAGAGCATTCACTTGTCTCATTATAAACTTTGCATTAGAGGAACTTTTGGGTGTTGGATGAATTTTCCAGCTGTAAACTGCAGGTGGACTTGTTGGGTTGGATTTTAAAAGCAAAGATAACATAGCAAGCAAGGTCTTCTTCAGTATTTAGGAGATTTATATATTTTTTACACCTGTATGTTTTATTCAGGAGCATTGGTGGTGCTGAGTGTCCATGGTAGAGAAAGGTTGTTTTTATTCATGATGTCCACTTAGATTCACAAATGAAAAAGGAATTACTTGTCAGTAGTTTTGAAAAGTTGTCTCCAGAATTAAGTCCTTGAGTATTTAGAACCTATATACTAAATTTGTAAACCAGTACCTTCTCCCTTTTTAGAAAAAAAAAAATTGTATGTATATATATTTATCCTTTTTATTTAATGAGAAGAAGTGAAAGGTAGACTATTCTAGTTTTGATTGTGATTTTTACCTAAGAATTTGTGTGAGTAATGTGGCCTTAACCCTTCAGTTATGGAAGAGGCTATAATCGTCATGACATAATGGCCTATGATGTATATACATGTCATGACTCGAACAGGTGGGCTATACACAGTCTAGGCCTTGCCACAAAGTCTACACTGTTGCGTAATTTTACATCACAAAAAATTCTGGCGCTGTCATGATAGAGACAAAATAGTTATTTTTACTGATCAATTTTTGAATTTGATTTAATTGGGAGGAATCATCAGTATTGTCACTGACACTTGTATGTAAATAATAATTTGTCTTTCAAATCCTATACTAGAAAATCTATGGACCTCACATTCCATGCTCAGATGTAAAGTGATATATATGAAATTGTACATATTCTGTATTGGTTTTCCCTCATTATGAAATTCAAAAACCTCTCTTGTATATATATTAAAGGTGCTCTTAAAAGATTTGCATCATGATTAATGTTTAATGAGTAAAACAGTAATGTGGAAATGTGGAGATAACAACCAGAATGATAATGCTGGATGGTATATTGAAAATTGATTTATATAGCTCAGCCATTTCTGTGTTCATTTAAAAGTGTTTGTGCTCAACTAGGTATGGATTTACTAGTATGTCAGTGTAAGTTTGCAGTGAACATGTGCCAGCCAATTAATTACTAAGAATGTTTTCACGGTCTTTTATGTAATGTATTATCCACTGCCAGCATTGCTCACATTATGATTGAGTATGATGTAAAGAATGCTGTCTACTCACATGATGTTGGTATCTTTCTGAATCGTTGATTGATGATTTAGTGGTTGAGTGAGAAAATTAGTTTCGCAGAAGACACCCACATACTCGCACCCAAATACACAGACACTCATGCACACACATGAACATAGACACACACACACGCACACATGCACACACACACACACACACGCATGCATGCACGCACGCACGCACACACACACACGCATGCATGCACGCATGCACGCACACACACACACACACACACACACACACACACACACACACACACACACACAACACACACACACACACACACACACACACACACAACACACACACACACACACACACACACACACACCCAGACAGACACACACACACACACCCAGACAGACACACACACACACACCCAGACAGACACACACACACACACAGACACACCCAGACACACACACACACAAACACACACACACACACACCCACACACCCAGACAGACACACACACACACCCAGACACACACCCACACACCCAGACACACACCACACACCCAGAAACACCCACACACACCAGACAGACACAACACACACACACACTCAGACAGACACACACACCCAGACACACCCATACCCATACCCATACCCATACCCTCCCCCCTCCTACACAAACACAAATATGCACACCTACTTACCCTCCCAAATACTTACCTTCAAATCATGTACACCCCCACTCCCACGCCTGATCCCCGATCCCCTACACATATCCTGTCTTCATATTCCTTCCCTCTGTCTTTTTCTCTCTCTCTTTTGATAACACCATCTGTCTCTTACCACTGGCCTCCCCCCCCCTAATTTTCTGTCCTTCTATGTCTCCTTCCCCTTAATCTTTCCAAAAGAAGTAATATATCATATAGATACTTGTTCAGTATACAGGGTGAGATTGGGTGCTAAAGATATTGAAAATCTAAGGGTTATTTTAAATGAATGCATTTCTTTCTGTGGAGTCCTGAAGCCTTATTGTGTTACATGTAGATATCAGAATCATAGTTTGCTGAATACTAAGAATTCTTCAGCACACGTCATTTGCTGTTTGAGGATAGTGGCTCTTGTTGTAGAAAACACTCAGATTTTTCTTTTACATAATGGACGGATTGTATGTGACTAATAGAATATAGTGCTTCTTCTGTACTCCTTTACTTTCTTTTTGAACAGAGCTTGTACCAATAGGTATGTTCAGATGTTGGCATTTACATAATCTTTTAAAATTGAAAATAGAGTTACGGTACTTTAAGTTTCAACATTCTATGTCTTTCAGGAATCTGTGATTTTTCATAAGGAAGGTCTTTCGCAGAGAGCCAAAGTTATTTGTTCACTGTTATTTACAACCATATATATTTTCTACATTTGCTAAAATAAAAGCTACATGAAATAACTGATGTTTATATTTGTTATAACCCTTTTGAAATTAATTTGCATGTAGGAATTAAATCAGGCTGATTACTATTATATCATTATATTAATTTGTATGAAGTGTCTACTTTGGTAAAATGTAATATTTTTTTATCATTAAACTCAAAAAAAAAAAAAATTGAGGATCACTGCTTATGGTGTGATGAACTTTACAACTTCAATGTAGAAATTATCAATTTTCTTAATTGTTATATAAAAGCTAAAAACTTTGAAGGGGGCACTGGCCAAAATATTAAAGGTCCTCTTGTTCCCTATACCCTTTCTAATCAAATATAAGCATATTATGCACCAATGTAATGTACAGTGCCGTTTTTAACAAATTATGATTGGGATTGAGGAATCAGAGAGAGAAACCTTGACTTACAGAAAGAACAATAGGGCTGATACTCGAAACTCCCATTGCGTTATGTAGTATGACAGTCCATTTTTCCTTGGTATATTGATGCACCTTTATCCTGACCCAAGTTTGAAAGGGTGTGGTGTACTATTTTCTTATGTGAAGGGAAGAAGCAATAAGGCAAAAAAAAAAAAAAAAAAAATTTGGGATATTCGTTTTTCTTTTTCTTCTCTTCGTTGTTTCAAAACAGGAGGCTTAGTAACCAGAGGTAGCTCAAGGCCAAGTCGATGCAGCAGAATCTGATGATTCAGACTGGATACTATTTTATGCCAGCATGATTCTGGTATCAGCTATTCCAGTTTCTTGCCTTATTTCAAGGACAGGCTAGTGTTTCAATGCTTTGTAATGACTTTTGGGAGTTGGGGATCCATTAGCAGGATGCACACATTGATTCTCATCTGCTCGACTACTCTGATGCGTTAAACAAATAACGAATGCCTTAATATTGGGCATGACATCAGATAAAGAGCTAGTACAGAACTGCCAATATCAGATACTAATCTAACCATACATCTATACAGTAAGATGTAGATAGGAGACAGATCTGAACTTTTCTTAAAAAAGGATAATCTTTAAAAATACACCTGATTAGAACTATTTCTTTTTTTATTTTCCACTTTACACATGGGAATACATCTACAGCAAACAAATACAAAGTACTGAAACCTGCTGATCTCTTAACAAGCAGTTTTATATGTAATCAGTAAAAAATCTATAGTTTACAAATAACTCAATATATTTTAATTCCATTAATCCTAATAAATACCCCAAAAAGGGAATACAAAAAAGCAACAAAAAATAATGCACTTTGGCAAAACAAGAGAAAGAAAATACAGGGGGAAAAACTTTTTACCAAATATAAAAAAAAAGAAAAAGACTATACAAAAAAAAAATCCATGTAGACACAATCGTATTTATTACCTGCACCATATGCAAATGACTCTTCCTATAAAACAAATCCAGATCTCTAAGGAGAGAAAAGAAAGAGAGAGAGAAAAAAAAGGGGAAAAACCTCAAATAATCACAGGATACAAAACCATACTGATTATTTTTCTCTTCACACACACACCCAATCAGACAAGAAAATTACCAAGCTATGACACCTGTTCCACATCGGGTGTGCATAATCTCTGGTCATTTTGATTACCAAGTAACAAAAAGATGAAAAGAAGATAAAGGGATAAAATAATAATAATAATAATAATAATAATTATTATATATGAAAGACTATAAAAAAGTATGGAATAAAGAAAAAAGAATATGTATGAAAACAAGAAACAAGAAAAGAAGAAAAAAAGATGAAAAAGAAAGGGAGGGAAAAAAAGGTAAAAGAAAGATAAGACAGAGATAGATAGACACATAGAGAAGCAAAAGAAAAGAAAATAGGGAGTAGGAGGAGGCAGGGAGAGAGAGAATACAGCTTCCTGCACTTGAAGCTGACCTATGCCTATTTAGACTGTGCCTTTGGGAGTTTCACGAGGAAGGTGTGGTCCGAGGCAGGAGGATGAGACCTGTTGAATAGGGCCTGGCGGATCGTCGAGAGGTCGGGTGCCACCTGCTCCTCCTTCCTTGAGCTTTTGAGACCCGGCAATCCTGCAGTGCCTCTGCCGCTTGTCAACAGACTGCTGCCACTGTGTGAAGAAGTGGATATATTGAGCATTTATATAATGTAACTAACCTTAATGACAAATATGCTAATGATGCTAATAAATAATTCAGAATAATAAATAGTAAATATGCTTATTTTTTCCACCATATTAATGATCATTATAATAATAATAATAATAATAATAATAATAATAATAATAATGAATCAATATACTTGTTATACAAACAATCAATAATTTAGTACATTGAAATCATCAGAGATTCATTATTTATTGTAATAATAGTAATGACCATTATAATGATGATAATGTCAATGATGGTGATTATCGATGTTGAATAATAATAATAATAATAATAATAACAAAGGTAATAACAATAACAACAAACATCAATGTGCATAAATATAGCAATAATTTGATTTCTGAAACATATCAAAAATATAATCCTAATCCTAATCCTAATCCTAATAATATTTCAATTATTGTTCATAATGCTAATAATAATATAAACAATGATTACAGTAATAGTAATAGTAATAATAATAATAATAATAATAATAATAATAATAATAATAATAACAATAACAACAGCAATAATAACAGTAATCATAATAATGATAATAATAATGAAAATAATAACAATAATGAAAATAATAATAACAATAATGAAAATGATACTTATAATAGTGATAATGATAATGATAATAATAATAATTCCAATGACAGTAAATGTATTAACAAAACTAATGAAAGCAAATAACAACACAGAGCAGCACAATAAAAAAAGGGGTTACCGAACACAATACACAAAAGCTTATTCTACGGTTAAGTTAATGATGAGAAGACAAGCAAGTTACTTCAAATACAAATAAGAATTCTCACTGGCAAATGCAAGACATCTACAATACTTAGTAGAGTAACAGATACCTGTACAATGATCAACCATGCATTTATCACTGACAAATGAATTCTTGTACTGTGACTCTAGGCATTACTTTGTGCTTGATGGAGAGCACCACAACTCATTTAATGTTAAGAATATTCTGACAAACAATATGCCTAATTTATGCATTATTGATTCATTTATTCATTCATCTATTTTTTTTTTTTTTTTTTTTTACCAAGGGCAATAATGCCATATTCATACAAAGTTCAACAAGTGAAAAAAGGGGTCAACTTACAAGACTTACTCTCACACATAGTAACCCGTGCGCCCTCTACCGTCCCATGAAAAAGAAAAACAAAATTAGACGTCTAAGAATCTACTTCGCTCAGTCCCGCACTTATTGCAGCCCTCCTGACAAACAAACAAACAAACAAAAAAAAATCTGGCATTGCTATAAACATGAAAGAATTAATTTCAAACTTGATTTCAAATTATGCAAGTGTTTTACTTCTCTCTCAACCAAAATGAGATGTGTGA